GGGCTAGGATGGAAGATATAGATGAAAAGTTTAGGAGGTAGATTCCAAGGTTTGATGATTCAATATCAGGAATAAAAGAAAAGATGGTACCAGGTTTCTGGCTTTGATCACTGGGTGGAGGGTGGTGGTGGTCTCTGAAGGAGAAGAAAGAGGAGGGTTTTTTTTTTTTTTTTTAAGATTTACCTTATTTATGCATACAAGAACTGTGTGTAGGCCAGAGTTGCAGGGAGTGAGAGGATTCACCAGAGAGAGAATGGGGAGCAGAACAGGCAGATCCACTGAAATATACTGCTGAGGGGAGCAGAGGGTAAGACAGGAGAGGTCTGCTGTACTATGTGGGTCAGCTCCCTGGCCAGGCATCGAACTCATGCCACAATGGCTGATGATACCTTGATAGTGCTGAGACTTAACCTCTGCACCACCAGGGAGGACCAGAAAGAGAAGGTTTGTGGGTAAGATGAATTTACCTTGATGTCTGTTGAACTTGAGATATATTTGTGGGACATCCAAGTGGGGCTATCCAGTGGGCAAATGGTTAGAGATCTAACATGGGGGAGAGTCCCACCTGGGAATACTTGGTTGTCATCAACTTAAAGAAGCCACTGGAGTGGATAAACTGCCTACAAAGAGTATGAAGATGATGGGGCAAAAGGCATGCATATCTGTAGCATACTACATTCCTTCTTGTCCTGTGCATCCACTTCAGTTCCAAAATAGGCTAATGGCTCATTTGTGGCCCCCATGAAGATATGTCCACATCCTGACCCCTGGAGCCTGTGATGTGACCTTATTTGGAAAAAGGATCTTTGCAGATGTAATTAAGTGAATCTAGAGGTTAAGCCATCCTGGGTTATCCTGGAGAAACCTAAATCCAATGACAAATGTCTCTAACAGGGATATCCAGTGGAGAGACACAGAGACAAGAGAGTTCATGAGAAGCCAGTGGCAGAGACTGGAGTAGTACAGCCACAAGCCAAGGGTTGCCTAGAGCCACGAGATGCTAGAAGAGGCCCTAGAAACTTCAGAAGTAGCAGGGCCCTTCACTTCAGACTCTGGCCTCCAAAACTGTGAGAGAATAAATTTCTGTTGTTTTAAGTCACAGAGTTTGTGGCTATTTGTTATGGTAGTTCTAGGAAACTAACAGGAACTGAGGAGGGCCCGAACTAAGGGACAGCCACCAGGTTCCGGGGGGCTTTGATGTGTATGTCTTTGCTTCCAATCCACAACTGGGAAGCAGGACCCCTCACTGTTTGAAAGCCCAGATCACAATGACCAAAGACTTGGCCTTAACCACAGAAAGGTCATGAATCAGCCAGAGGGTGCCCCAGGCAGTTGGCCCCTGGGTACACTCTGTCCCAACCCAGGGAGACTCAGGAAATAAGACTCTGGGAGCTAAAACCTGTTTTAGGGTTTGGCAGATTCCCAGCTGCAAAGACTTAATCCAGGGTCAGAGTCCATATCCCCCACCCAGACCAGAGATAGAGTCACACCCAGAAACAGACAGTGCAAGTAAGAACTTCGTGGAGATTGGCATTTGGAAAATTTGAGAGCTCTAACAGATCTGCATCTAGAGCCAGTTCTGGGCTCAGAAATACTAAGAGAAAGCAGCAGAGATGGTAAGGAGATGTGCGGACATCGAGAGTGCCACGGAGATGTAGGCATAAGATCCTGACTAGGAAAGAGCCTAAAAAGGAAAAAGAAACATATAGAACTTTTGGAAAGAGGGACAATGACACTGGTATTGGAGAATGGTCTCCGGATATGTAGACTCCAGACTCCAGTTAGCATGATGCTTCGTCCTCTGTGCTTCTCATGACATCTTCCACCTCAACTAGATTAGTTACCAATTCCTTCTTGTCCAGGTCTACTGAATTCAAATATTACTGTGTACCTTTACTGGGTCAGGCTCCAAGCAGAGTGCTGACTAAATAGCTAACCAAGATAAGAAGTGACCAACAAGGGGGCACACTAGGTCACATTGCCATGGGTGGCTCTTAATGGCTCCAAAAATGGCAACCTAGATTGCCTGACTGACTACCTGCTAAAGTGAATAGAGGACATCTGCTGTTTGGTTGTGCAGTTTTGGTATACAATCAGAGGGACAGTCACCCTGACAAGGCAGATAATTTGAGGAGCCATAGAAATGTGATGTTGGGCCTCCCTGGTGGCCTAGGGGTTAAGTCTCAGTGCTATCACCTCTATAGCCTGAGATTGATCCCTGGCCAGGGAGCTAACCCACATGGCACAGCAGACCTCTCTGTCTCACCCACTGCTCCCCTCAGCAGTGTATTTCAATAAATATGCCTGCTCTGCTCCCCACTCTGTCTCTGGTGAATCTTCTCACCCCCAGCACCTCTGGCCTACTCCCCAGTTCTTCTACTAAATAATAATAATGAAAAAAGTGATGTCGTGCTCCTGGAATAGTGTGGTTTTACCTGCATGGGTCATTGACAAAGAGTTCCTTGTCTTAAAGTCAATTTGTTTTTTCTTAAGTTCTGGCAAGGTGATCCGCAAGAGAGAAAATGCTCAAAAATGGCTGCTGAATAAAGAACTCAATCAATCGATCAAAGACTGGACCCTGCCCTTGTGGAGCTTACAGTTATTAGGGTAGATAAAAGTCATAAATCACCCTAATAGGAGTTAGATGGTAGGCAAGGTTATTAGGGAGGGCCAGCAAAGGCACCAGAAACCTCTTCCTGTGGTACAGAATTTGGTCGAGTAAGACTTCCTGGAGGCGATGGTTTTTGAGCTGTCTTGAAATATCAAGGGATTTAGAGAATGGAGACGAAAGAACTACTTAGCAGGGCATTGGGTGCACAAGCATTGATCCATCAGAGTGGAAGTTGGCTGAGGTAGTCAAGAGTCTTCACTGTGCCAAGCATTATCTCTTTGGATTCTCTGGATAAGAGATTATGAGATGGTCAGGAGAGACTTCAGGGAAGGCACAGTGGCAGGATTAGAAATATTGCAATATATATATTTTAAAGATTTATTTATTTATGCATATAAGACCTGGGGTGTAGGCCAGAGGTGTGAGGTGGTGAGAGGATTCACCAGACACCTAGTGGGGAGCAGAACAGGTGGGTTGAATGGAATACACTGCTGAGGGGAGCAGCGGGCAAGACAGGAGAGGTCTGCTGCACCATGTCGGTTAGCTCACTGGCCTGGGATTGATCTTGTGCTGCAGTGGCTGGCAATAGCTTCATAGTGCTGAGACTTAACCCCTTGTGCTACCAAGGAAGGCACAGTATATGTTTTTTAATCTATGTAAACATATTGGTGCATACTACTAAATGTGAGCCCTATCACCACCACCGGCTGAGTTCATTCCCCGGCCAGGGAGCTAACCCAAATGGTGCAGCAGACCTCTCCTGTCTTGTCCCTCAGCAGTGCATTTCAGTAGGTCCGCCTGTTCTGCTTCCCACTCTGACTCTGGTGAATCCTCTCATTCCCTGCACCTCTGGCTTTCACCCCAGTTCTTCTACACAAAATAAATTTAAAAAATTTTAAAAATAAAATGAATGTGAGCCCTGGATATGGGTTTTTTGTTTGTTTGTTTTTGTGGGACCCTCGCTGGTGGCCGGGGAACGAACAAGCGCTGCAGAGACTGCGGGCAGCCTTGCAGCTCGCAGCCCAGCTCTCAACTGCTGCACCACCAGGGGAGGCCCTGAGCCCTGTATATGAACAAACCTCCTGAGATGGACACATTCTAGTTAGCCCGGGTCATGGACCTTCCTAGAATGCAGACCACAGACCCGCAAGGGCTGCTCTCTGCTGCAGTGCTTTGGGCTTGCAGCAGTACCTGGAGGGCTGGGGGAGACTCAGTAAATGTTCATTAAATGAACAGACAGAGTGGGAACCCCAAACCCATTCTTGGGGTCCTCTCACTCTTCATCTCCTTGCACCTACTTTCCCCTCTAATTCATGCTCCACACCAGACCTCTACATGATAGAACTGGAGTCTATCATTCCACTCAAAATATTTATTGGCCAGAATACCATTCTCCCCATTGTTTATACGGATTGAACTGCTACTTCATCAATTCTCAGATCGAATTTGCCTACTTCTGTATTACCTTCCGAGGCAGAATTAAACTCTCTCCCCTAAATATTCTTTGAGGAAGTGTTTGCCATCACTTGCTAGCCATTCACCTCATTAGGACAGGAACAGTGTCTTGTTCACTTTGGTGCCTTGAGTCCACAGCCTGGTGTCTTTAGTGCCTGGTAGGTGCTTTGTTGCATCTAAGTGCAAATGGCATTCCAAGCAGCGAGAACTGGATGAACAGAGGTAGTAAAAGACTTGGGGGAAACATGGATTGTTTGATTTAGCAGGAATATGGGGGGGGGGCACTGGTAGATAAGATGAGATGGAAAGTTCTGTTGGGGAGGATTTTTAAGGGACTTGGATGTGGGCTAGATGGAGAAGATGGGCAGATGAAAAGTACTTTGGTAGTGGTGAGAAGCCGAGAAGCCAATTTGAGCAGCAGCCCCTGAGCCCCGTCCCTTGTTTCCTCAGTGGATCCCAGTCCCAGCTTCAGGCCCCACTGTGCAACTGCTGCTGTTACTGCTGGTCCTGTAGCCTGTCCATCCCCAGGACCAGGCCCAGATGCAAGGGACTCCACTCATGGGAGGAGAAGCCAATGAAAAGTAAATTTAGTTTAAACCATCGGAGTCCCCTTCATACATACACTCAGCTTTCCATTCCTACTCAAATTCCCCTCCCAACTGCCCACCCACCCATCCACCCCCAGTAGCTTGCCCTAGCCCTTTATGGACTCCCTAGCTGGGGCAGGGATGTATATATAGGCTGCTTCTCCTCTCAGTCAGAGGATGTGGGGGGCCCCAATTCCCTAGCTCCCCTTCCCTGCCAGGGGCTGGGAAGCAGGCCAAGGCTAGCTGAAGTTGGCTGGTGAGCAGCTGGGAGGTGCCAGGGAGAGTCTGTGTAGCGCCAGGTGGTGCCTTGGGTTCCAGGTTGAGCCTGTGACCCCGATAACCTTCTGCCTGCACATATACCTGCCCCTCACTGCACCCCCATCGCAACTTTGGTGTCAGAAAGGGGGCACAGGGCCAGACAGATCCTCGGGACTTTGGCTCCATTTCTACAAAAGGGCACTTTCTGAGTCAGCCTGCTCCCCTCCAGGCTTGCTCCTCCCCCACCCAGCTCCTGTTTCCAATGCACGTACAGCCCGTACACACCCGTGCACACCGTGCCCCGGAACACCCCACAGTCAGCCACATGGCTCCCCTATGCCCCTGTCTCTTGTTCCCTCTGTGGATCCCGTTTCCAGCTTCAGGTCCTGCTGTGCAACTGCTGCTGTTACTGCTGGTCCTGCAGCCTGTCCATCCTCAGGACCAGGCCCAGACGCAAGGGACTCCGCTCGTGGGAGGAGATTCATCTGGGGAAGATGCTCCTCTGGGCAAGGAGGATCTGCCCAGTGAAGAGGATCCACCCAGACAGGAAGACCCACCTGTACTGAAGACTGAGCCAGGAGAAGAGGACACTCTGAAGATAGAAGATCTACCTACCAAGGCTCCTGGGGACACTCAGGACACCAAGAATAATGCACACAGAGACCACAAAGGTAAGTGGCCACAAGCCCTCTAAATCTAGGCCCCAGGAAGTTTGTGTCCCCCAGCCCCCTTGTAAACCCCAGCCTAAGCTGGGATTATTCAGGGAAGGAGAGGTGCCTGTACTCTGAGAGCAGCCCCCACCGACGCCCCAACTCCCAAAGCAGCCATGCCACTAAGCTCTTCCCCTCTCATAGCTGGGAGGGAGATTGGGTGGCGAGACAAAAAAGGGGCACAGAAGGAGAGGTGAGCAGGAAGAGACAGGAAAGAGAAAGGGGGAACTGGGGAGAAGAGAGTGGAGGAATGTGGAGAGAGAAAACCGAGATGGAGAGAAGTAACAGTGAGCAGGGTTCAGAGGGAGAGCCGGCAGGGCTTGTAGAGATGAACTGTCTCCAGCCTACAGATGAGAACAGATTTGGGTCCAGGAAAACGGCAGGGAGGGGGGCCTGGCATCTTAACTCCCAAGCCAGGAGCTTTGGGAAAGGAGTGGGAGACCAGGAGGGAAAGAGGCTGAGTGGCTGGGAGGGGAGGGCTGTGAAGGGGGGGGGGAGGGAAGGAAAGGTGCGCAGTCATTTGGGACCAGGGAGTGAGTCCCAGCCCACCCCAGCCCTTTACAGACCGTAAGACAGGGCTTGCAAACTGGTAGCTCAGAGGTGGGTGGTACTTTTGTGAGGGCAAGCTGTAATCTATTGTGCTTTCCACCTGGCCAGCCTCAGGCATTCTGTTACTTGCTGTGCCCCTGTAAGGCGTCTGAGTTTGAGAACCCCTGCCAGTGAGGGGAGGGCATCTCTTTTGGCCACTGGGGAAGGGCAGGACTGGAAGACTGATCTCTGCATCCTCATTTATACAGGGGGTGACCACAGTCACTGGCGCTATGGAGGTGAGAAACCCACCCCTGCACACACCCCATCTGGGCACCCAGCTGTTTTGGCATACCCCCCAATCATGCCCGAACTCGGGTCCTTGGTCAGCTGCCCAACGCATCCACGTGGGCCAGTCTCGGACACCAGCGGCTGCCAGTCTCTGTTCACAGTCCAGATTTCTACTTCCTGCCCCAAGCCTCCTGACTCCACCCTCTCCCTTCTTCTGCCCCGCTTCTCTCAAAGTTCTTGATCTTGTCACCAGACTTGCCTGCCCCTCCTCTCCCACCCCAGGCGGCCCGTCCTGGTCCCAGGTGTCGGCAGACTGCGCTGGGCGCTTCCAGTCCCCCGTGGATATCCGCCCCGAGCTCGCCGCCTACTGTCCCGCCCTGCGACCTCCGGAGCTCCTGGGCTTCGAGCTCCCGCCTCTCCCAGAGCTACGTCTGCGCAACAATGGCCACACTGGTGAGGGGTCTCCGGGCAGAGCCTCAGAGGAGGTGGTGGGCGGCCTGGGGTTGTGGGATGGTGCTGGGGTTTGGCTGGTCCCCGTGGCGGGCGAGGTGGGGCCGGCTCACCTGCCTCTCCCACCTCAGTGCAGCTGACTCTGCCTCCCGGGCTGGAGATGGCCCTGGGTCCTGGGCGGGAGTACCGAGCCCTGCAATTGCATCTGCACTGGGGATCTGCCGACCACCCGGGCTCAGAGCACACGGTTGGTGGCCACCGCTTCCCTGCCGAGGTGAGCACCCAACTGTCTGCAGAGGGATGAAGAGGAGGGAGGGTCTGGGGAACTTGCCCACTCCTTCTCTCCTTACTCTCTAGATCCATGTGGTTCACCTCAGCACTGCATTTAGCAAAGTTGAGGAGGCCTTGGGGCGCCCTGGGGGCATAGCTGTGTTCTCCGCCTTTCTGCAGGTATCAGCCCTAGACAGCCCCCCACTCCTTGCTTCCCTCCCTGGGCTCAGGGTATCTTTCGGGCAGAAACCCCATGCCAGCATCCCTGTGATGCCTGGCTATCATCCTCATTCACTCGTTCTTTTTTTTTTTTTTTAAGATTTATTTATTTATGCATACAAGAACTGGGGTACAGGCCAGAGGGGTGTGTGTGTGTGTGTGTGTGTGTGTGTGTGTGTGTGTGTGCGTATTCACCAGAGACAGAGTGGGGAACAGAACAGACAGACTGACTGAAATACACCGCTGAGGGGAGCAGCCAGTGAGTCAGGAGGGGTCTGCTGAACCATGTGGTTCACCTCCCTGGCCAGGAATTGAATTTGTGCTGTAGTGGCTGCAGATAGCTTCATAGTGCTGTGTCTTAACCCCTTGCACCACCAAGGAGTCCCCACTCATTCTTTTTTTTTTTTTTTTTCATTCACACCTACTGGGAGCCAGGCACTGAACCACAAAAGGAATTTCAAAACTGAGTCCTTTTCCTAAGGAACCCACAGTCAGTGGGGGAAATTGACACAACATACATTTGCAGAGGACACTGTAAAAGAGGGGATCAGGGAAGGCTTCACGGAGGGGGTGAAACTTGAGGGTTTCTCTAGTGGGAACACAAAGATCTTCCATGCCCAGCTGATAGTACCTGCAAAGACCAAGAATATGGCCTATTCAGGGAATGGCAGGTGGAATAGACCAGATTCAGGGAAAGTAATTTCTCTAATACTTCCCCGTTGTGAAATGCAATAAAGTTTAAAGAAATGTTTTATAAACTTTTTGGACCAGTAATGATGAAAGCTACATGTGCGATGATTATAGGCTAGTAAAATGGAAGGATCTAAGATACTTTCCAGGTCCCTAACTGACTCCTTCATGCCAGCCTCACGGCACAAAGTTCAGGAGGAGTGCCCCAGAAATAGCATATCCTTGCTCCAAAAGTCAAACAGATGGATTACTAAGGTGCATGCAGAAGAAATATATATATATACAAAGTTGTTATGGTTTTCCGAATATAAAGGCAGGGACTAGTTAGGCTGGAAAAGTTGGTTGGATCCAGGCTATTGAGAACCTTGGATCCTAGTCAAGTGTTCCATTTTCATCCTGCTCCTCCAATTTGCCATTGAAAACCAGTCCACCATGCTTATTAGGTTAGTTTGTAAAATAAGAGTAAGTTGACTTTGAATATATTAAGTTCTGTGTTGCCCCAGCATTCTCAGAGCTGAGGAATGGGGTAGGGCCTCGTGAACCTCACCTCACCTTCAGGCCTGCAGCCATAACCCCTGGACATATGTCTTAACCTGTCTTGTGCTGTTATTTCCTAGGAGGGCCCAGAGGAAAATAGCGCTTATGAGATTTTGCTGTCACATTTGCAAGAAATCGCAGAGGAAGGTTAGTGTGTTGCTGTAGTCACTGCCCCAAGGGAGCCTCAGGTCTGGGAGTGGAGCTGAACACCCTTGAGGAAGGGTTTGATGTGTGAACTGGTTGACTGTGATCTTGATAATAAAGAGGGAACCTATTAAAAGAGATAAATAGGCAAAAGCAAACCCTGCTAAATAAGACTTGGGGGTGGAACGGGGGCAGAATGGGCATAGGAAGTCAAGAGGTATAAACTTCCAGTGAGAAAATGAATAAGTCATCAGGTGTAATATTCAGCATGGTCATTGTATATTTGAAAGTTGCAAGGGAACTAGATTTTTTTTTAAGATTTATTTATTTATGCATACATGAACTGGGGTATAGGCCAGAGGTACAGGGGGTGAGAGGATTCACCAGAGACAGAGTGGGGAGAACAGGTGGACTGACTGAAATACACTGCTGAGAGGAGAAGGGGGCAAGACAGGAGAGGTCTCCTGGGCCATGTGGGTAGCTCTCTGGCCAGCCGGGGATCAGATTGGTGCTGCAGTGGCTGCAGATAGCTTCATAGTGCTGTGCTTAACCCCTTGTGCCACCAGGGAGGCCCAGGGACTAGATCTTTTTTTTTTTTTAAAGATTTATTTATTTATTTATTTATACAAGCACTGGGTACAGTCAGAAGCACAGGAGGGTGAGAGAATTCACCAGAGCCAGAGCCAGAGCCAGAGCAAGGAGCAGAACAGGCAGACTGACGAAATACACTGCTGAGGGGAGCAGTGGGCACAGCAGGAGAGGTCTGCGCACCATGTGGGGCCCTCACCGGTGGCTGGGGATCGAACCAGCGCTGCAGAGGCTGCGGGCAGCTTCGCAGCCCAGCGCTCAACCGCTGCGCCACCAGGGGAGGCCCTCAGGGACTAGATCTTAAAAGTCCTCATCACAAGAAAAAAATTGTAACTATGAGGGTGGATATGAATGAGGCTTACAATCTATACAAATATCAAACCATTATGTTGCATACCTGAAACTAATATAACATTTTGTGTCAATTATACATCAATAAAGAACATTTTAATAAGAAAGTAAGACCAAAAAATAGTTTGTAACTTCAGGAATGAATCTGGAGAGCTAAAAATTTTCTGAGAACCGTATTTCTCTTTCATAAACATCAAATATTTAAAATTTGTAAATCTTTTTATTGGAACTCTTTCTTACTCTGGGTCATTTTAAGTTTCATTAGTTCCACTAGACCTTAGGTTTTGCTAGACCTACAGCTTTTGAGTTTTTGTGTTATAATTAAAACACATATTTAGTTTTGAGTTATTGTTTATAGTTTGTTTTAAAGATTTATTTATTTATTTATTTATTTATTTATACAAGAACTGGGGTACAGGCCAGAGGTGTTGGGGGGTGGGGTGGTGAGAGGATTCACCAGAGACAGAATGGGGAACAGAACAGGCAGATTGATTGAAGTACACTGCTGAGGGGAGCAGCGGGTGAGTCAGGAGAGGTCTGCTGCGCCATGTGGATAGCTCCCTGGCCAGCCAGCAATCGAACTCATGCTGCAGTGGCTGCGGATAGCTTCATAGGTTGCGTCTTAACCCCTTCCGCCACCAGAGAGGCCCTATTGTTTATAGTTTTAAGTATTTACTGACAAGTTTTCAGCTCATTTTGATTCACTCTGGGATTAAATCTGAGGTCCAGCATGTTATCACAGTGGAAAGTAAAAGTGAAGACTCAGAGGGAGGGCCTACGGGGCTCTTCTTGCACCCTGGGAAGCCCTTTACTCTTCGCTCCTCTGAGTTATGTCTGTGCTGAGTTAAGGAAAGGGTACATTTGGTGAAACAATGGTCTCAGAGAGGTGAGTCAATATGGCTTCTGAAAGGTGAAACTGTACTGTACCCCCAAAGTTCCCAGGGTCGGGTGGGGAAATCCAGCCGGGACTCCAGCACACACCCTCTCCACAGATTCCGAGACGTGGGTCCCAGGACTGGACATATCTGCACTGCTACCCTCTGACCTCAGGCGCTACTTCCGATATGAGGGGTCTCTGACCACACCCCCTTGTTCCCAGGGGGTCATCTGGACTGTGTTCAACCAGACAGTGAGGCTGAGTGCTAAGCAGGTAGAACTGCAGTGTGATGGTGACATAGGGATATGAGGGGTATACGATGAGGTGGGAAAGAGGAGGCATAAAAAGATCAAAGGCTGGGTAGGGATGAGGGGGACATAGAGGTTGAGTCTTCTAGTGCTGGTTGTGATAGGTCTGGGAACCTTTTGCTTCCTGGTCATGAGCTCATCCCCTGTCCTGTCTGCTGATCTCCCTAGCTCCATACCCTTTCTTCCTCCCTGTGGGGACCTGATGACTCTCGGCTACAGCTGAACTTCCGGCCTGCACAGCCTTTGAATGGGCGAGTGATCGAGGCCTCTTTTCCTGCTGAAGTGGACAGAACCTCTAGGACTGTTGAGTCAGGTGTGGCTTCGTCTGGTGTCCCACATTGCCACATTGCCCTAGTCAAACTGTGTCTGTCACTGGTGGCCACAGCCCTGGCTCTAATGTCTCCTTTTTCTCTTTAGTCCACCTGAACTCCTCCTGCCTTGCTGCTGGTGAGTTTTGCTCCTCCTTTCCCCTGAGGCTGGGGGACACCCCTTTCATCCATTTAGCCCTAGGGGCTAGTGGGAAATACCTCTGCTTTCTCTCCTCTGCAAACTTCGAACCCCAATAGGACAGTGTCAAGTCAAGGTGGAGGGCTCCCCGGGGGACAAGAGTTGACATGATGAAGTTCCAGAAATCCCTTAGCATCCTCTTTTCCAAACAACCTCTTTTACTCCATGTTTAGGCAGGAAAAATGTGCTTACTTTGCCCTTCTTGTGAGTTCACCCACATCCCCTTCTGGCTTCTTCTGGATTCTGAGCCACCGAGGGCAGCTGGAGACCTTGGGGTGGAGGCATACATTAAACAGGTTTTCAGGGAACCCTACTGGCCCCTCTTCACCTTGAGGCGATTTTCCCTCTCCCTGCAGGTGACATCCTTGCCGTGGTTTTTGGCCTTCTCTTTGCTGTCACTAGCATCCTCTTCCTTGTACAAATGAGAAGGCAGCAAAGGTATGAGCTGTGCTAACCCCTCCCTCGGGTGCAGTCCTCACCTTTTCATGCAAGTGCCTGCAAATGAGCTCAGCACCCGCAAGCTTTCTGACTAGGCTTCTTTGTTGTACAGAAGATTCCAAAGCGGGACCAAAGGGAGTGCCAGCTACCACCCAGCGGAAGTCACTGAAACAGCCGCCTAGAGGGCTGCAACCTGGAGAATGTGCAGAGAAGCAGCCAGAGGATTCTGAGGGGCAGCTAGAGACATTGTCTTACCCCTTATACCACTTTCTTTTTAACCTCCAAAGATTTTTTTAAATAAATGTTTCTAATAAAAATATGGAACACATCTTTTTTTTCCAAGTCAGGATTCTGTATTCATTTGCTGTAACAGATTACCACAAACTTAATGGTGACACAAATTTATCTCTGGCCTCCAGAAATCCAAAATGAATTTTTTTTTTAAAGATTTATTTATGTGAAGAACTGGGGTATAGGCCAGAGGTATGGGGGTGAGATGAGTCACCAGAGACAGAGTGGGGAGCAGAACAGGCAGATCTCTGAAATACACTGCTGAGGAGAGCAGCAGGCGAGACAGGTCTGCTGCACCATGTGGGTCAGCTCCCTGGCTGGGGATCCATCTCATGCTGTGCAGTGGCTTGATAGCTTCATAGTGTTGAGACTTAACCCCTTGTGCCACCAGGGAGGCCCCCAAAATGAATCTTAAAGACTCAAAGTCAAGATGTGGGCAGGGTTAGCTGCTTCTCAGTGCTCTGAGGGAAGAATGTTTCCTTATCTTTTTCAGCTTCTAAAAGCCAAGCATTCCTTGGTTTGTGGCCCCCTCCTCACATCACTCCAGCCTATTGCTTTCGCTCTCATATCTTCTACTACTGTTTTTGATCTTCTTGTATCCCCCTGGTGATTATGTTGGGTAAACACAATGGCAGCAAAACTTCAGTTTAACCACAGGCCCGTTTCCCCTGTAAAGCAATGTCTCAGATTAGGGTGTGGACATCTTATCTACCACATATGTTATCAGGAAGGAGTCAGAAATGACTGACATTGTTGGAAGGGCCGTGTGCTTGTGTATGTGCGTGCATGTGCACCGTACACACGTCACACTGTACGTCTTAGGCAGGTTTAGCCTCTAGGCCTCAGATCACATGGAAGCTTTTGGACTTTCACCTGGTTTGAGTCAAATCTGTGTAGCATCTTGCAGTTTTGCCTTAAGGGTGTACCATCTGGCCCAGGCACATGGAGACAGCAGTTCCCCTGCCCTGCAGGGAGTAAGGGCAGCTCTGCTTCCCACAGGCAAGTCACAACTCCTCAGCAAGCCGATTGAAAAGGAAATAATTGCAGAGCATAGTCCAACGCCCTCCTCATTCAAGGGTCCTTCCAACTCCACTGCTCTCAGGCAAGCTCCCAGCTTTCTCTACTTTGAAAACTATTAGCCTCCCCCCACCCCACCCCCAAAAAAAATGCTCAAAAGGATCCTGTGACACCAGTAACATCAGTTTTATTAGGTTGGGGTGGCAACTCTAGACTGGCCAGGGGTGGGCCAGCCCTCACATGTTGTTGAGTTCCAGCAGGGTCTGGTCGAGGGTCTGGTGAATCTCCACATTCTCCTCCTTGGCACTGGCCAAGGTCTCTGTGAGGGAAGCAGCATGTGAGGAAGAGGGAGACCCAAGGGAAGGGAACACAGGAGACATGGACTGGGGTTCGGGGACAGATATGGGATGGGTTGGAGGCACAGGAAGACACAGCATTCAGGGACCTGAGGGGCCAGTGGCAGGACAAGGGATGGGTTGACCGGGACGAGGGAACTAGGACAGACATGGATGCCTTACATTCCTTACATGGTGGGGGATTTCAGAGTCATGGAGGTGGGGTGGGAAGGCCTGAGTCATAAACCAATTTACTCTCTTCTCTAAAGGTCTGAGAGAGTTGAAAATAGAAGGAAAGACAAAGACTGAGCCAGGTAGGGGAGGCCAGACTGACAGACTTGAGGCAAGAAACAGACCTGCTGTGAAAGCCCCTCGTTGCTGGAATCCATTTTTCCAAACTTCATCCCTGACCTTTCACAAGATTCTTGCCCCTGCCCTGCACCTCCTCACCCCACTGCCCTCAGTCATTCCTTTAGCTCCTAGAACCCCAGCTGAGTGGTCTGAGGTCAGTGACAGTGCTGGGTCTGCAGCAGCACATCTCAGGGGTACTGGAGGCTCATGGTGATGGGGACAAATGCCCACGTGCAGCAGTCAGTGGTATAAGGGTAAGAAAGTGGTATAAGGGGTAAGACAATATCTGCCATGTGCAGAGTGGCAGGCGGGGAGTGCCTGTGCAGAGGGGCTTTTGGTATGGGCCACCATGGCTTGTGGGAGGGCTCAGGCAAGGGAGTGACAAGATTGGGGGTGTATTTAACAGCCAGGGTGATAGCAGTGAACCAGTGCTGGCGGGGAGGTGGGGGTGCTGATGGCAGTGCTCTCTGGAGGGCAGGAAAACAGCATAGAGACCAAGTTGAGTTTATTAAGCAGCAGAGAGGTAGAGACTGGGGGTTGAGGGTTGGGGAGATGATGGAGAGAAGAATAAAGCAAGTGCCAGGATAGGTGGCAGGCGTGACGGGGCTCTCCCAGGCCGCGCCCAGTCTGGCTGTGCAATGTTGGCAATTTTTGCTCCTCCTGCCCACGCCCATCCCCATGGAGAGAATGGGAAGGAGAGGAGAGACGGCCGCCCAGGGGCCACACTGCTTGGGGCTCAGAGAGAGGTAATGTCGTTGAGTGCGTTGTCCAGCTCCTCACTGATGGCTTTGTACTTCATCTTCTGTGCATAGACTTCATCTGGGGGTCCAGGTGAGGGGGTGGGTGGGAGTGTGGGAGAGGGAGTGGAGGGAAAAGTGGAAAGGGAGGAGAGAGGGTGATGGAAAAAGAGAACGAGAATCAGAGCGAGGTGGGCAAAGATAAAGTGCGGGAGAGAGGCTAGAGAACAGGCTGACAGCCACTGGGGCTACCTTGTCCCCTCTTGGTACCCCTGCCTTTTTTTCTCCTTCTCTGTACCCCAAACTGGTTCCTCCCCAGGGATCTGGGGGCACAGTGCTTTGGATAAGCAGGAGTGCTTGCTTCCAGAGGAGGTGCTCAAGCCAGAAAGGTCTAAAGTACTGGGCCTCCCTGGTGGCGCAAGGGGTTAAGACCCAACCAATGAAGCTATCTGCAGCCACTGCAGCACGAGTTCCATCCCCGGGCAGGGAGGTGACCCACATGGCGCAGCAGGCCTCTCCTGACTCGCCCGCTGCTCCCCTCAGCAGGGCATTTCAGTCAATCTGCCTGTTCTGTTCCCCACTCTGGTGAATCCTCTCACTCCCCGCCCCAACACCTCTGGCCTATACCCTAGTTCTTGTATCTAAAGTGCTAAGGCTGGGCCAATGAGGCTTGCTTGAGAAGGCTGGTGTAGAGGCGAGCGAAGTTGTCATTATGAAAGTGAAAGTATCAGCGAATCGAAGGGAAAGACAGTTTCAGGCACAAGGTTACTGACAACATGAGAAATAACAGCCATAGACTAGCAAACATCTGGCTGTTTTCACTGAATTTAGCTTAAATTAGTATTTCCTATTAATGTGGTCACTAAAACCTAGATAGTAAACGCAGCTGCTGCCTGTTTAATAAAGAAGTCTCATGATGCTGCTCTGCTGGGCTGCACTTGGAGACAGAGCTATCCAGATCAAGATCAGGACCGCTGCAAGTGTGGCCGAGGACAGCAGCACCAGCGATACCTCAGAGCGGAGCATGAGACACACAGGTCCTCCAGCCAAGGCAGCCACCATGCTGGGTAGGCCCACGGACCTGGCATCTACTCTCCTGTACTCTCAAGTCTGAGAAGCACTCAATCATGTGCTGCATCTACCTGAACGGCACGCACAGACCCCCTGAATTTGTGGAGTTCTAGGTTGTCCAGTCCTAATTTGTGGATGGCAAATGAAAGAGATGGGAAGGGACAGCAGGCCAGTCAGGGACCTATTTTAAAAGGCCTGGGGAGATAGGGTATTCCTTTTACCTTCCAGGTCATCAATGGTTTTCTCCAACTTTGCCACAGACCTTTCAGCAAACTCTGCTCGGGTCTCAGCCTATTTGTGAAGGCGAGATGGGGAAATGACAAAAAGTTAGGTCCCCCAGACTATCGCTTGCCCCAACCATGTCTTCCATCCCTATGCCCCAATTCCTTGCCATGGGTAGTCTCTGGGGAGGAATGCGGGGTAGGCGGGGGGAACTTAAGGGAAGGGAGGGGTCTGGAAGGATTCTCACCTCCTTTAGTTTCTCCTCTAGCAGTTTGATCTCCTCTTCAAATTTATCTTCTTTGGTGGAATACTTTTAGGGATATACACATGCCATCAGTGGTTTGCCCCCACAAATCCTTCATTTCTTCAAAGTCCCACAGGCTCCTCATGATCTTGTCACCATCAAACACCCAGCCCTCCCTATCTGGCCCACTGCTGCCCTCCCCTGCAGGACCCCATCCTCACTGCCCTTCTGCCCCCCTCTACCTTGTCCGCTTTGGCTTCCAGGGATTTCAAGTTGTTGGTAACAATTTTCAGCTCCTCCTCTAGGTCCCCACATTTACTGCAGGGGGTGTGTGGCAGGGTGAGGTGTGAGGGCACAGTGGGGTGAGTCAGTGGAGATGGCACAGTGGGGGAGGGTGGAGGAGAGAAGAGAAAAGCAAAAGTTGTGAGAGTGACAGCAGGCAGAGCTCCAGGCCCTACCCAACGCCCAGCAGGTGAGAGAGCAGCCTGAGATGGAGGAAAAGGTGAGCTGAGAAAAGGTGCCATTGCCCAGAAAGGTCTAGAGAGGTCACTACCTCCTCCTCTGAGGCTATCAGGGACTTGAGGGCTTGGTCCATGGTTCGAAGTTCCTCCTCCAGCTGCCTGGCTCGGCTGGGGGCAGCGGGTAATGGTCAGAGGATGCCCCTGCGACCCCCAGCTTGGGAATCTGCATTCCCACTGTGTGAGAGTGTCCCACAGCCACGGGCTCAGGTGGAGTGTCACCTGCCATCCTGGGTGTCCTTACCTCTCAGCCACCTCAGCTCTCTCTTCTGAGCGCTCCAGCTCTCCTTCCAGGATCACCAGCTTCCTGGCCACCTAAGGGACGTGGAAAGAAAAGAGTAGGCATATGGTGGGTGACTGGGGGTGTCTGGGACTTGGGAGTGATTAGGAAGTGGAATGGGGCTGTCACCTCTTCATATTTGCGGTCTGAATCCTCGGCAATATGTTTGGCCTCCTTCAGCTGCATCTCCTGCAGTTCCATCTTTTCCTCATCCTTCATGGCTCGGTTTTCAATGACCTTCATGCCTCTGAGAGGCAAGGAGAGGGGCCGGATCAGGACCGGCAGAGACACACTCCCCACCCGCTCCCCAGGGCCCCCCTGCAGATCACTCTGCCTACCTCTCACTCTCATCTGCAGCTTTCTCAGCCTCTTCCAGCTTTTGTAGGGCTGTGGCCAAACGCTCTTGCGCCCGGTCCAACTCTTCCTCTACCAGCTGGATGCGGCGGTTCAAGGAAGCCACATCTGCCTCGGCCTGTGTGTCAAAGGTCAGAGATCAGAAAAGCTAGGTCTACCTTGGAGGAGGATCAGAGAGATTCCAGAGGATGGTAAGATTCTTGTCAGAAGGAACTTAGGCTTCCTGGTTTTCAGACTTCCAATCTACTTTTCCCTAACCTGCTCAGATAATGTGCTCCAGTCAAACATGTATCCTTGGCAAGGCCGCCTCCAGGGGGCCTCTTCTGGCTCTGTGCATAATGTCCTGATGGCTATTGGCATGCAGGGCCCTCTTGTCTCCCCTAAGAGCACCCGGAGTGCTGCGACTGCGGCTAAGGAAGCCCTGACCACCCTACAATAGAACCTGGATCAGGTAAAGGGTGCTGAAGAATCAGGCCAACAGGACCTCAAGGCTGCTGAAAACTGCCAATCAGAGTCGAGCTGCACGGCACCACCAGCTGCCAGGCCTAGTGGTCTATAAGGGACGTCCACATGGGCTTCCTGCCAAGGCCGGCATGCACAGGGGCTGTAGAGGGCCCGTGTGAGTGACTGATACTCAGCTCCTGACTCTGCAATATAGAGGCAAAGCCATGGAGGCTTGAGAGAAGGTCCATGTAAAGTGATGATACCTTGAGAAAAAGAGGGCAGACCGAGAGCCCTGATAAAGGAAAAGGAGGGAAACAATGCTGTTTGGCAACAGCATTATCTCTGAGTCAGGACGCCTTCTCTGAGTCATGATTCAGCTACTCAACACCTGTGTGACCTTGGGCAACTTATTTAGTCTCTCTGAGCCTCATTTTCCACCTTTTGAAATCAGAGTCACAATAGCTGTTTGGAGATCATGCAGCGCTTCTAATACTCATTCAACCAACCATTGGGAGGCTTATAAGATTGAGCAGCTCTCTAGCTCCGTGCGAGATCCACAGAATCGAGATTTCCAAGGCAGGGGCTTGGACATTCTTTGATCTCCTTTCTTTTTTAAATGTTTCCAAGTAATTCTGATAAGACAAGTTTGGGAAATAGTAAAATACCATTGCAAAGAGCACATGCTGGCAGAGGCCGCACTCTATAAACATTAAGTTATCCCTGACTCTTCCTAAAAGACAAAGACATAGAGATCCTGAGATTTAAGGAAGGTGAAGGGGAGAAGGGAAGAGATGGGCAGCAGCCCTAGGGCGGAGGGGGTACAGCACAGGTCCTGGGCAGAGGAAACACAACACTATACGTAGAAAGTGGATCACAGCTTGTCCCCCAGGTGCTGAAGGCCACCTAGAGTGACAAGAGCCCGCTGTGGGCATAGGTCAGGATGACTCAGTGTGGAAGGATTCTGGGGACAGGACTGAGATTGGGAAGTAAGCCTCTGGAAGACTACCCTAGAGGGAGATGAGACTATAGAAGGAAAGCTCTCGGCGTGGTGGGGGAATGACGAATGACTGGGTGATCTGGGAAACCCTGGGGTCTTCATCAGTGAACTCATGTTTGCCATTTTCTGCTTCTTGAGCGCTTCCTGTTATGGATGCTGCTCTCTAACCATAGGACAGGCACTACTGTCCCCAATGGACAAACAGAAAGCAAGAAAGAAGAGGGAAACTGAGGCACTGTGTAAGTTAAGTGCTGCGTTCAAGGTCACAGTAAGTTTCAGCAGTGTTTCCTAGCTACTCCTGGCACTGCTGCCTTGCTCCCCCAGCTCTGTCCTGTCTACCCCTCCTCCCTTCCACCCCCCACCCAGCTCCTTGGGTTTCCAGTTTGCCTCCAGCTGCACTGGGTCTTGGTTATTTATAGAGTGTCAGATGCCCAGGGTCGTCTTCACTAGCAGCTGCAGGTCAGCTCCCTCCCAAGCGCCAGGGCTGATGGAGAACCAAAACCAAAGACTGAAGGTCAGAGAAACTAACCTTGGTGGGGGCGGGGGGGGGGGGGTGTTGGGGAATGTGAGTAAAGGTCAACATTAACAAGTAGTAACATCATTTCTGATGTTTAGACCAGGGTTTATGCTAATCCTCCCATAGACCCAACCAAAGGCTCATCTTAAAACAATCCTGGAGGAAGACAAATGGGGACATTGAGGCAGAGAATGGAGAAAGTGCCATGTCCAAAACCATTCAGCCATTCTTCTACCTCAAGTTGGAGGTTGGGAATGGCAGGAAGTAGAAAGGTCTGTTTCGGGGGTGTGGGGGGTGGGCAGAAAATTCTGAGTAAGCAGAATCTGCCAAGGTGGTTGCTTTGGCATTTGTGCCCTGTCCCGTCCTGTGGCCTGGCATGCTCTTGAGACTGACAGCTTAATGAGAGCAAAGGAGAGTTTGTGAGAACCTGAGCTGGGGCCCCAGTACACCAAAGGGCTGCTGAAGGCAGAGGTCAAGGCCAGGGAATTTCTAATGACCATGCAGAAGTGTAACTGACCCAGGGCCCATCGCTGGATTCCTTCCTCCTGTCCAACAGTACCTCACACCCATACCCCACACCCCACAAATGTAGCCGTAGTCTCCTTTCCATGTTCAGCTAGAGGATTGAGGCGTAGGGTAAATTCTTGTGCCATCCGCCCCCACGGTGACTCATTGCTTGATCACTGTATATTCTAAGAGCTGGAACCAAACAGAATTGAGGACTATATACTTTGGGGGAAGTGGTAGGTGCTTTTGATTTACCCACTGCCTTGGATTATTTGTGCAGGGCTGCCCTAACCCAGGTTCTTGAGAGGAAACCAATTCTGGACTAGCACTGGGGAGACTGAGGTCCCCTTTTCCTTTTATCCACATGGTCAGGAGGCCTCCCAGTGCACTAACTCTTCCACCATTTTCCAAGTTCTCACTCACGTCAGTGGCCTTCTTCTCGGCCTGCTCCAGTTTCTCCTGGGCATCCTTCACCGACTCAGAATACTTCTCCACTTCATCCTCAGTCCCCTTCAGCTTTTTCTGGAGGGCCTGTTGCTCTTCCTCCAGCTGTGAAAGAGAGGGTGCTGTCAGCCAGGTCACAGGGCCCAGGAAGGAGACAGGGGTGTGTGTGAGGAGGTACTAAGAGATCTTTGGAGGCTGTCAGGGAAGAAGAGGAATAGGCAATGGAACAGTGCAGCCAGGAGTGTTGGGGGGACATGGTGAAGATACAGAAAAGCTTCTGGCTCCAGGGAGCAGGGGACTGGGGCTCCCCAGGTTATGGTGGATGTGATGAAGCATGTCTTTGGTTAGAGCCCTGGGTGGAATTGTAAAAGCCCAGGTCCCATATGGGATAGGAGAGTCCCAGACAGCAGGCCCAAGGCAGGGGGCACAGAACAAGGCCTACACCGCCCTGTTAGGGGAGTGTTTACAGGAGAGGGCCCCCACCTGCTTGCAGCGGTCCTCAGCCTGCTTCTTGTCGGCCTCGGCCTGCTCGGCGCGGTCGATGGCATTCTCCTTGTCCAGCTTTAGCATCTGCATCTTCTTCTTGATGGCGTCCATGGCTGCGGTGGGGGGCGGGTCGACCGGCGAGCGGTGCGGACGGGGCGAACTGGACTGTCTGCTCGGACTGGGCGCACGGGAGGCGGGAGTGGCGGGCCAGGAAGGGCTGGGATGTCCCGGCCGCGCGGGCGCCTAAAAGGCGGGGAGCTGTCGGGCGGAGCCGGGGGCCGGGACCCTCCCCCACCGCAGTTCAAACCTTGTAGGGGCAGAAGCACAGCCTGGCCTGGAGGCGCGGTCGCCCCCTGCGCCCACCCCCTCGGGACCGCCCCCTCGCAGCTCCGCCCCTCATCCACCTCCCCCTCCCCCAGCCGTCGGAAGGAAGAGTAAATGGGACTGTGGGCTGCAAACACCTAGTCCCGGGGAGGGAGCAGGAGAGGACCCTCGAGCTGGGGGCTGCTTGCTTTCTCTCTGAGTGACAGCTCGGCCCGGTGGCAGCTGCGGCTGGGGCCCCTGGGGCTATTTCGGGGCGTGAGCTCACGGCAGCTGCCCACGAGTAGAGATGCCTTCCCACCCCCCCCACCCCCTCAGCTGCTGCTGCCGCTGCCCTTAATTTAGAAGTTTCCTGCAAATCCCCCCGGATTAAATGTCTCTTGGGAGGCGGGGCTCCTCTGCAATTCTAGTGCCTCAGTTTACCCCGGGTTTATGGTACAGACGTGTAGTAGCAGCGGAGCGTCACTAGGGACTGGCGGAGACCGAGACGGGAGGGGAGCCCCGAGTCGGGGTCTCCGCGTGGATGCAGTCGTTGCGCGGCCCCCGGGGGCGGGCGTGACCTCGCTTCCCCTCGCTTCTCCCTCCAGCCCCGGCCGCGGCGGCCAGGCCCTCCCCCCGCTCACCCCGGACTCCGAAAGCGGCCCCGCCCCGCCCCCACGCGCCCGCATATTTTCCACGCGGCCACGGGGGCCCTGACGCCGCGCGCTCCCCGCTCCCCACCCGGGGCGCGCTCTCTCCCCGCCCACTCTTCGCCCCTCAGACTCCCCCCGCCGGGTCGCGCCTCGCCCCTCCCCAGCACCCCGCGCCCGCGCTCCCCTCGCCCCGGCTGCCCAGGGTGCCCCCCTTCTCCACCCCATCTCCCGGAGGACTCTCCTTTCCTCCCTCGTGGGCCAACTTTAAGAAATCTCTTTTCTGCCCTTTTTTGGGATGCTTCCCGGTGGGGAGGCGGGGCCGGGCCGGCGGGGAAGGCAGCGGCGGAGAAGAGACCAGGCCGCCCCCCCACGGGGGCCTGGACCAGCAGCTCTGGACCCCGGGCCGGGATCTGGACGTCCACGGCGCGGGGCGAGGCTGGCTGGTTCCCCGGGTGGGGGCTGGAGGGGAAGTGGAGAGCCCCCGGGGGAGGCGGGCACGAGAGACCGGGCGGAGGAACCTTGGAGGGAGCGGCCAGCCCTGCTCCCCAGAGGCGGAGGGGCAGGACGGTAGGCTCTGGCTAGTTGGGGTGGGACCGTGGGAACCCTGGGCCGAGGTTCGGGAGGGGTGGAGGGAGGCGCGGAAATGTATTTAGATCTGCTTAGCTGCGCGCTGCTACCCATGGAGCAAACCTGACCTCGCAGCGTTCACTTCAGTCCATCCCCCAGTTTTCCCAAGCTGGTGAAAGACTCGTCCAGTGCCCCTTCCCGAGCCAGCGCTGGACCCCTGGGGTAATTCAGCGCTCCCCTGTCCCGTGCTACCTATATCCACTTAATTGTGTGGATTATCCTTACAACACGTTTTTTAAAAGATTTATTTATTTATGCATACAAGAGCAGGGGTACAGGCCAGAGGTGTGGGGGGTGAGAGGATTCACCAGAGACAGAGTGGGGAGCAGAACAGGCAGACTGACTGGAATACACTGCTGAGGGGAGCAATGGGGAGACAGGAGAGGTCTGCTGCGCCATGTGGGTAGCTCCCTGGTCGCCAGAGATCCAACTCATGCTGCAGAGGCTGCAGATTGCTTCTTAGTGCGGTGCTTAGTGCGGTGCTTAACCCTTACAACACATTTTAAAGTTCCTCCTCAAAGCCTTTGTAGTTGGCTTGAGCAACGCCTATGTCACTTCCTGCCTCAGTCTGTTGTCTTATATCTGGTTCTGCAACTCTTTCATTTAGTCAACTATTCCTCAATATTGCCAACAAAGATCTTTTTAATCATTGCAGAGAGTAGACTCCTAAAAACCTCCCAACCCCTCCCTACTCCCTCCCTCCTTGGGGGATAAAATCCACATTTCTTAATATGGTAGAGAAGGCCCTTTGTTTTGGCGCTGCCTACCTCTCTAGCCTTTTATTCCCCACCTCAGCTGCAATACTCAGACTTGTGCTTCATGCCACATTCACACTCAGCTACTGCAGGAGTTGGAATTATTTGTGGTAAAGCTGCCTCCTTAGGCATCTCTTCTCTTTCCCTAAAATGCTCTTCCCTAGGCTGATTCTGTTACAGGGGAGGGAGAGGGGCACCCCAGAAGCCCCAAACCTAACTACTCTAAATGGGTTCTGCCATTTGCCGCATTAAGACAAAACATACTCTAGTGCATAAGACCTTTTTTTAAAAAAAAAAAAAGATTTATTTATTGATGCATATAAGAGCTGGGTCACAGGCCAGAGACAGTGGGGGTACAGGCCAGAGGTGTGTGAGAGGTTTCACTTGAGGCAGAGTGGGGAACAGAACAGGTAGACTGACTGAAATACACTGCTGAGAGGAGCAGCGGACAGACGAGACAGGAGAGGTCTGCCTCACCATGTGGGAAGCTCCCTGGCTGGCTGGGGATTGAACTCATGCTGCAGAGGCTGCGAATTGCTTCATAGAGCTGTGTTTTAACCCCTTGCGCCACTGGGGAGGCCCTAGTGTGTAAGACCTTTAATGGAAAGGAACTTAAAAACAATTAGTGTGCAACAAAGAGAAGGGGAAGAATATAGTTTCTTTTTTTTTTTTTAAAGATTTTATTTATTTTTATACAAGAGCAGGGGTACAGTCCAGATCCGTGGGAGGATGAGAGGATTCAACAGACACAGAGCAGGGAACAGAACAGGCAGACTGACGAAATACACTGCTGAGGGGAGCAGCAGGTGAGACAGGAGCGGTCTGCCGCGCCATGTGGGATCGAACCGGAGCTGCAGAGGCTGCGGACAGCTTCACAGCGTGGCGCTCAACCGCCTGTGGTGCCAGGGGAGGCCCAAAGAATATAGTTTCTAAATCAAGCACCTGAAGTTACCCATCCCCTCATGGGTAAATGCCCAAACAGAGTTGGCCCAAAGCAGGACCACTGAGGCCATAGTCCTGGCACACATGTAAGGCACCTTCTGGTGGGGCCCATAGGGAAGGGGCAAAAAGGGCCCAGCATGTTTGGGACAAAAGGAGCAAAATCAAAACAAAAGTTGCCATTAATAACCACCCTTCCCACCCCCCATCCCCCTGCCTCTCATCCACATCTGTTTCAACCAATCCAAAATCAAGAAGCAAGTGCAGCTTGCTCCATATGCCTCCTCCAGGTCTCCTTGGTGCTCTCCATCCTTCCTCCCTCCTTCTCCAGACTCTTCTCCAGCTTCCTCTCTGCACTGCTTAGCTCTACCCTTTCTTGGGTGGGGCAGGGAACCTGGAACCTCTTCTTTCCCTGGGGACCACAGTGTCACAATTGCTGATGGCCTTGCAGACTCAGATCCTACCAGCTCCCGCGCGACACAGAGATGGTAGTTGTATCCAAAATGACAAGTTATCATAAAAGGGAGAGAATAAAGGACAATTGCATAGATACAAGCAGGCAGAAAGGGTTGCCCCCAGAAGGGACAGGTTTGCTAAAGGAGAGGCCTACGTAAGCACAGATGGGTGGCCTTGAGGAGAGCTGCCTCGGCTGAGGGAGGTCAGTGAAGAGAAGCCCTGGCATGACTGCTCCTGCTCTACAAAAGGGAAAGATTGGGCCTCCCTGGTGGCAAAAGAGGTTACGCACAGCACTGTGAAGCTATCCACAGCCACTACAGCATGAGTTCGATCCCTGGCCTGCCAGGGAGCTACCCACATGGCACAGCAGACCTCTCTTGACTCACCCGCTGCTCCCCTCAGCAGTGTATACAGTCAGTCTGCTTGTTCTGTTCCCCACTCTGCCTCTGGTGAATCCTCTCACCCCCCGCATCTCTGGCCTGTACCCCAGTTCTTGTATGCATAATTAAATCTTTAAAAAAATAAAATAAAAAGGGAAAGATTGCTGAATAGAAGCACCTATATGGTCACAAGTGGGCAGAAGGGCTGCTGCCCTGTACCAGTGCAGAGGTTGCACTGATATGCCTCCTTTCCAACTTTTTTACTCTTAACTTCTATCACTAAGGTAATAAAGCACAAAAAGGTTATTGATAAGTTTCAGTTTCTACAAAATTCAACTAACCCTTACAAAACTACCATTTATCAAGTGGTTTTGGTATAGTATTGATGGAGGATAAGGATAGAGAAGTTGGAAAGGAAGCACAAGACCAGAAAATGGCTCACACAATGCCGGCAGCTGGAGGTGGGGTTAGAAGTGATTAATTTGGTCATTAAACCAGCTATAGTAATGAAAAATCCTTAGGCACTGAGGCGCAGACCTGAGCAGTTGTCAAACTGCTGTTAGAGTGTCATGGGGCTTGTTGAGGACAGACTAGAGGTGAGGGTATGGAGATTGAGGGCCACTGTAGAATCTCTGGTCCCTTTCAAATTCTACATAGTTATTCAAAATCAACAAAAATGAACCACTCCACAAAGGAGTGAGCGCCTCCCAAAGACTGTCTCAGTGCAATCTCTGCTCTGGCACTGGGTAGCAGCCCTTCCGCCCGCCTGTGACCATGCAGTCCTCTCTTTTAACAAACCTGTCCCTTTTGGGGACAGTCCTTTCTGCCTGCTTGTGTCTATGCAAGTGTCCTTTTTTCTCTCCCTTTTATAGTAAACCTGCCCTTTTGGATACAACTAGCGTTTCTGTCTTGTGGAGAAACTCATTTGGGAAGCTTAGTGGTGCTGCTGAAAGGGGAGTTCTGGTAAATGTTTCCTAGAGTTAACCCAAGGACTCCACCCTTCAAACCCAACTTCTCCAAAAATGACTATATTAGAATCCATTGGTCTATAATGTACTTTGGGAGGATCTTCAACCCATGGGTAGTATTGTAATGCCTTGCATTGGTTTGGAAAATAGTACTTCACTGAACTATGCAGATTTCA